CTCAAGGTTACTATAAAACAGGAGAGCCTAAGTCAGAAGTAAAATTTCTGTGCTGTATGTGCAGAACAACTGAAACTGTCCCTGTGAAATCCCTTCTGCTTTGGGATGGGTAGGTGCTACTGGAGCAATCTCCACATTCACAAATGAGAACTGGTGACCTTTTGGGTCCCAGACATCAGAGTCCAGCTCCTAGGTTGCAGCATGAGCTTCCTGCTGCCCATACAGAGAGGCTGCCATGCCAAGTTGGGTATTTGACTTGTACAACCATTGGCCAGTGCACAACAGGCCAACCCAAAGATCCCATCCTGCTTCCTAGACTTTATAAGCCTTTGGCAATGGCATCTGGGGATACTTACAACTGTATGGGAATGGTCTCATTACAGCCATGGTAGGGTTGAACTTGGCTTGGTGTGACTCCAGGCAGCTTGCTGGCAATCTGAGATCTGCACCGATATCAGGAACACTTGTAGCCAGCAACCCATGCTCACACGCCCCTTGCAGTGCTTCTGCTTCAGCCACTCACACTGCCAGTGCTCCCCAGGGAGCACTTGGGTTAGGGTTAGGGGCTCGGGGTCAGGGTTTAGGGTTAGGTTAGGGGTTAGGGTTACAGTTTAGGGTTAAGGCTAGGGGTTAGGATTAGCACTTGCTAATTCCCCAGCCTGAAAGAGAACGCACGCCTAGAGACTAGAGGTCAGTTTCTTGCACAGACCATGCTATGTCCATACTCATGGTGAGCTGGCCTTTTGCCATCCTGTGGTAACCACAGCACATCCCTACAAACACTGCACAAGGGTAAGGGTCTCTTTTATTCAAGGGGAGCTGTGCCTCTATCTGTACATGACATTCCTCCAGCTCCAGAACTCAGAAATAAGCAAACAGGTATCTATGCCTGTGACTGACAAAATAATGTTTCCATGCATAATCTCACCTTCTGCTTGCAGTCCAAATGCTTATTTCGGGAGTCAGGGAAATGATACAAAAAGCTCAGCTACTGGGGAGAGCTGCCCTGTGAAAAATAGAAAGAGGCTATATATCTCAGTCACTGAAATCAAAGGAGGAGTGGTACCATCATACTGTCCTCCTCCTGGACACAACATGGAGCTGTGTAGTAGCTGTAACTGCCCAAAGTACTTCCAACCCTGTGCCTAGTGTGCCAGGTTTATTCTAGGAGCAGGTACCAAAAGACCAGGGAGTGGAAGATAAACTCTGCATGTCAGGATCAGGAAAGCAAGCATCTTGGCCTGTCCAGCTGGTTGGTTTGGGGCTGGAAACCCATTGGCAGAATTTATCCAGCAGAACAGAGCTCCATTCATCCACAGAGGAAGAAGCTGGGGACAGATGCCATCCTCTCTTCTCCCTCATACCTCACAGCATCATCAGGCCAAGGCAGCATCTGAACGTGGGCTGTGCGGTTAGGACCAGAATGGGGGAGTAGGGCACACCTTACCCCCAACCTACCTTACCTGTCCTCCAGGCCAACAGTGTCCAGGGGAACCTGCTGAGAAGTGTGTGGGTCACAGAGCTGAAAATGGGGCTCTCTGTCCCAGCGAGCCAAAAGGCCCATCAGCCAAGCTAACAGGCTAAGCAGTGTTTCCCCAGTCTCTCATGTCTTTCCCTGTGTTGCCTCAGGCTCCAGCGTCTCACCACGACACAGAATGACGGAGCATGAGGACTTCACAAGCCTGGCTGGGTACTGGAACTCCTCTGACATTTACCAGTTCAGCCCTGCCAGGGTTATTGTCCCTGTGGTCTTCTTCCTCATCTTCCTCCTGGGCACAGTGGGTAATAGCCTAGTGCTGGCAGTGCTGCTGTGCAACAGGCAAATGGGCCACAACACCACCAACCTCTTCATCTTCAACCTCAGCCTGGCTGACTTCTCCTTCATTGTTTTCTGCGTGCCTTTCCAGGCCACCATCTACTCCCTTGAGGGCTGGGTCTTTGGCTCCTTCATCTGTAAGGCTGTCCACTTCTTCATCTACCTCACCATGTATGCTAGCAGCTTTACCCTGGCTGCCGTCTCTGTGGACAGGTAAAGATGCCCTTGGGCTGGGGAAGGAGGGCAGTCTGAGAAGCTGGCCTGAGTGAGGGCATGGGAAGATTTGGCCCTCCACTACTAGGAAGATGGTTCAAACCCCAGTGATATTGATCCATGCCAAAGGCAGTCTGAGGACCAGTTGTGACTCCCTTCCCTTAACAACCCCCAGGCAGCATTTCCAGATCTCTTGAGTGCAAAGCTGGTTCTGCTGCTGTCTGGCTTTCTGCAGGAGAGACCTGCCTTTTGGTTAGAGCCCTGAAGTCACAAGCTCAGCTCCCCACAGTGCCACAGACTCCCACTGAGTGTCACCTAGCTCTGTATGAGATGTCACTCAGAGGGAAATTGCTATCCCAAGCCACCATTTCACAAAAGCATCATGTGCAGGCAGCAAAGTAAACATAATTCCCCAACATAAGAAGTACGTGGAGCTGTTGGAGCAAGTCCAGAGGAGGCCATGGACATGCTGGGAGGGCTGGAGCAGCTCTGCTCTGGAGCCAGGCTGAGATACCTGGGCTTGTTCAGCATGGAGAAGAGAAGGCTCCTTAAGGAGAGATCTTAGAGCAGCCCTTCAATAATTAAACTGGGCTTAAAAGAAGGGTACAGACAGACTTTAGTAGGGTCTGTTGCACTAGGACAAGGGTTGATGGTTTAATCTGAAAGGAGATTTAGACTAAATATAAAGAGGCAGAAGTTCTTCCCTGTGAGGTTGCTGAGGTGCTGGCACACGTTGCCCAGAGAAACTGTGGCTGCCCCATCCGTGGCAGTGTTCAAGGCCAGGTTGGACACAGGGGCTTGGAGCAACCTGCTCTAGTGGAAGGTGTCCCTGCCCATGGCAGGGGGTTGGAACTGGGTGACCTTTAAGGTCCCTTCCAACCCAAACCATTCTATGTCTTTAAACAGAAAGGACTGTAAGAGAAGCCACGTAAATACCCAAAGATCCATAAATACCCATAAATACTGGAGGTCCCAGTCCTGCAGTAAACACATCTCTCATTCCCCTGGGGCTTCCAGCCCAGCACAAACCCCATTCATCTAGCGATTCCTGTGCCCCCTTTGCCCCCAGCCCTCCTGCACTCTCTGCAGAAAGGCACCCATACCATGAACCAAGTCCTTCCTGGGAGGTCACCCAGGATGCTCTGGTCCCGGTCAGTGCCACCTACATTGTTAACAGGAGCTCTGTAAGGTGCCAGCTGCCCCACTTCTGACTAAGCCCACACTTATGGTCCAGGATGAGGAAAAGGTCCTCATGGGGTAAGCTCCAGGGTGAATGCTACAGGGAACATGTCCTAGCCCATCTTGCTCCTTGTGCTTGCTTCCAAGCTACCAAGACAAGACAGGGTAAACATCCCTCTGCAATGAGGAGGTTTCATAGCACTGAAGGCAGAAGGAAATTCCAGTACCAGGGAATACCTGTGACAGGTTAAATCCCAGCAAAAAGTGTGGTTGGGCTACTCTTCCAGTCCCCTTCCACATATGCTGCTCCCAGGTGCCACCTGCAGAAACTCAATGATCTGACACTTCAGCAGCTCATCCACCTGGAAATGCCAGCATCTGTCGGTTGAGGTAAGGGGGATCACATGGCATCTGACAAAAATATCCCAATCATATGGCATTCCAGTGGCTACACAGTTTCCCTGCTATCACCAGAAAGACCAGAGATTTCTCATGGTCTAAGCCTCTTGCTTCCCTGCAACCTAAATCACAGGGGTGCAGTCTGCCCCTCCAGCCAGCTCAGAACCAGGGACAGTATCTGTCTCTAAAAAAGATAGGACATTTTGGCAAGGTGCTAATGCCTGTGTTCTCTCCCTTTCTGGAGGCACTTCTGTGTTGTACTGCAGCAAGAGGTGGCTGCAGTTCAGTGTGACATGAAGTGATTCCTGCAGAGCTGCCAGCAGCTTTCAGGATGACAGGACCAGCAAGAAACAAGAGTTTTGTCACACATATGACCCTTGACACTAGCTGCATGTCTTATCTACATGCTCTGCTGGCCTTACAGTGCATCAAATGAGCACTCTGGCAGGCTGAGGCTGTAGCAGTTGCACTCCTGTCTGTGCTGACAGCTCCTTTCCATCCCCTACCCACGAGCACCAAGCCATCTTTTCTCCTTGCTGACATCTACATCTTTGCCCTATGGTGTTGCCTGGAGGTAAGGGAGCAGAGTTGGCCACCACACTGTATCTGGCCACTGTTGCTGGAAGGAGCAGACAGAGCATCACTGCCTGCTTTAGACTGGCCTTAGAAAGCAGACATTACCAAAAGGCAAGGGCCCACCTGGTCCCTTTGGTACCAAAGTGGAAGCAGCCACAACTCCAGTCAGCAAATCTCCCTCCTGCCAGGCTGGTCTGAAAGCTGGAGAAGGCTGGAAATATGCCCTCAGTGGGCAGGAGCCTGCACAGTGCCCATCACCTGGTAAAGCTTCTCAGAGCTTGAATCCGCAGTTCAGACCTCTTTCTGCTGCATAAATTCTGCCAAGCAGCGGATATGTGCAAACTCTCCACAGCATTATCTCTCTGGCCCTAGCTCAGGGACACAACCCGCCCCACCATGTACAGAGGGGTGAGCCAGACTAAGCTTGTGGGAGAAGCATCCTTGCTAGAAAGATAAAAGATGCTTTATTACCCAGGACTGTATTTCAAAGAGGATGTGAGGTAACATGTAGGGCCACGGCTCAGGGACCTTCAGGAGAATGAAGGAAAATTCTCCTGTCCCTGGAGTTTATGTGGCCAAGTAGAGCTTGGCTGAAATCTCAGTGCTGGTTGCTTTGCTCTCCCCTCCAGGTACCTGGCCATCTGCTATCCGCTGCGCTCCCGGGAGCTGCGGACCCCGCACAATGCAGTGGCTGCCATGGCTGTGATCTGGGGCCTCTCTGTGGTCTTTGCTGGGCCCTACCTAAGCTACTATGACTTGATCAAGTGGGAGTCCAGCTACATCTGCATGCCTGTCTGGGAGAAGTGGAGACGCAAGGTCATGGACACCAGCACATTTGCCTTTGGCTATGTCATCCCAGTACTGGTCATCAGCCTCTCCTACACCAGGACCATCAAGTACCTGTGGACAGCAGTGGCCCCCCTGGAGGACATATCGGAGTCCAAGAAGGCCAAGCGTAAAGTAACCAAGATGATCATCATTGTAACCATCCTTTTCTGTCTCTGCTGGCTGCCATACCACCTAGTCATCCTCCGATACCTCTATGGAGACTTCCCCTTCAACCAGGCCACCTATGCCTTCCGCCTGCTTTCTCACTGCATGGCCTATGCCAACTCCTGCCTCAATCCCATCGTCTATGCCCTGGTCTCCAAGCACTTCCGCAAGGGCTTCAAAAAAGTTTTCAGCTGTCTCTTGAGGAAAGAGCACCGCAACAAGGTGCATATGGTCCACATGGCCCACACGGCCCACACGCCCCACACTGTGCCTGGATTTGAGGCAGGTTCCACTGGAGCGTCCCAGACACATGAGGAGAATAAAAGGCGCGAGCTGAACCCAGCCTCCATGGCAGCCCACTCCAGTTCTTTCAAGCCCCTTCATATTTCATAGTGGCCAAGCAACACACCATCTGCCAGCTTGGCTGTGTCACCACCTTCAAGCCACGCTCTCCACTGGGTGAGAGAGGATGCTGGAAAGGCAAGGCAACCCAAAACCTGCTATACACTGCTTCTGGCCATGTCATTCCTCCCCATGCACCAAGTGTTCTCCTGAGCAATCTCCCCACAACATGCTGCATGCAAGGGAAGAAACAGACCCAGACCTACCCCTGATCCTCAAACCATTTGGGCTCCAAGGGGTAAAGTTCCAGCTCCTCTGTCAACTCTCAAACTACTTTGTGGAGAAGAGTGTGTCTTCTCTGGACACACTGGTTAGTTGTCAAAGAGCCACTTCTGCCTCCCAGTGCCCCATCTGGGCCGACGGGCTCCCCCAC